ACGCTTCGCGATTGGTAAACGGTTCCCAAGAGATCTGGCCGTATCATATGTTTAAATTTACTGTCTCTGAGTGTATTCCGAGGTATTTGGAGTCTGAATTAAGTTTTCATTGATTTAAAATAATTGTCATTGCAGTGCGAACAGTTATGATTTATACTTCTGGCTACAGTAGGCTTGGTTAGTTTTGAGATGAATTCTTTTTGTATCGTAGTTTACATACGGTACAAATGTGTATTTGTTGAAACAATAAATTAAGTACAGGCATATTTTCAACCCAAAACTGCTTGAGCTACACTATTCTTGGTATGCATAATTTTTATCAAAAATTATTTTAATCGTTTTCGTGTGTGTCTATGTTAAAAATCTTAGCTTTTTCAAATCGACTGCGACCCTTTTTTATTTATTGAGTACGTTGCTCGCTATCTTCCTACACTTATTTTGCATAATCAATTAAAGATAAAAAGGAAAGTGGATGTGGATTGTGGATGCTCCTAAAGTAATGAAGCTTAATATGCGCTCTTCTTGGTGAAACTATAATAAACTGCATGCCAGGGTGAGGAAGAACAGTGTAGAGTGTGAGGCTTGGATGGTGTAAGAGATAAAGGTGATTAGCGGTTATCCCATCAGATAGATTGCACGATGTATCAAACTGACTATTGAACTTGAAATCATGTATCAAACAGGCTATTGAACTTAAAATCATATATCAAACGGACTATTGAACTTGAAATCATATATCAAAAAGACTATTGAACTTGAAATCGTGTATCAAACAGACTATAGAACTTGAAATCATGTACCTACCAAATAAACTATTGAACTTGAAATCATGTATCAAACCGACTATTGAACTTGAAATCATGTATCAAACAGACTATTGAACTTGAAATCATGTATCAAACAGACTATTGAACTTCAAATTATGTATCAGACAGACTATTGAACTTCAAATCATATATCAAACGGACTATTGAACTTCAAATCATATATCAAACAGACTATTGAACTTGAAATAATAATGTACCAAACAGACTATAGAACTTGAAATCACGTATCAAACAGATTATAGAACTTGAAATCATGTATCAAACAGATTATAGAACTTCAAATTATGTATCAGACAGACTATTGAACTTCAAATCATATATCAAACGGACTATTGAACTTCAAATCATATATCAAACAGACTATAGAACTTAAAATAATAATGTACCAAACAGACTATAGAACTTGAAATCACGTATCAAACAGATTATAGAACTTGAAATCATGTATCAAACAGATTATAGAACTTGAAATAATAATGTACCAAACAGACTATAGAACTTGAAATCACGTATCAAACAGATTATAGAACTTGAAATCACGTATCAAACAGATTATAGAACTTGAAATCATGTATCAAACAGATTATAGAACTTGAAATAATAATGTACCAAACAGACTATAGAACTTGAAATCACGTATCAAACAAACGTATTTGTAGCGAAACTTTTAGACCTTTAGAAAACTTAGAGAATGAGATACTGATGGTGTAATAGGTATTGAACACGAATGTTTGAGATTGAAACAGGTATATATATAATTGAAATTATAAATATTTGTGGAAATTCAATAGAACTAGTGGCTTGTAGGGACATAAGTCCCTAAAAAGCTCAAATGTAAAACAACTTTTTGCAATACCGGTATTTAAACAAACTCAGAATAACATTATCTATGTGTCAGAATAGGCATCCCTACACCATATCTTTTGTGTAAAAACCAGTTTGTTGTTCTTCTTTGTTTGCTTTTGTTGATGTCATTTTCAGTAAATAATTTGAAACACTCCAGTGGTTTAACATGAAAAGGCAGCAAACATATCATTGTTTGTGAATAAATACTGGTTTACTAAGGTAGCTTTGGTCTTGTGGTTAATGAGGATAAATAAAAGCTTCCCTGTTTGGAATTTTAAAAATTCATTGGAGGTTCGCCTTCAGATGAATTGAAGACGCCTGCAATTTCATCTGCAGTAGGCTTATTATACCTACGACGATCCATATTTATCCTGTCTACAAACCTAAGTTCTAATTCACTGTCACCTTGTACAACCATTTCTTCCGAAGCTCTTTTGTAAATTTGTGCAAATGGATTTTCTAATAGAATTTCAGCTAGTTTTGACAATATTTCAGGTTTTAAGTCACTATTTTCTCGACGCCTTTGACGAATTTCTGTTGCTGTTGATGTGTCAATAATGTACAATAGGCCATACACGGGGTCTTCATCATGTTGAGGCAGCAAATCTGAGATTGAACGATAAATCTGTCCTTGAATTTTGAAACAGTATGGTCCTTTTCTTGGAATATCTTTCTTACTGGCTGAAAAATAAGCAAAAGCCATCGCACTGTTGCATTGTCGAATGAATTTATACAGTTGTGGGCTCTCTTCAAACAAACTTTTAAGTTCTACATTAGTTTTTGACTGAGGAAGGTTAATAAGTCCGTTATGGCAACATGTCATAAATTGATTATTCGTTAGTTCTTCTCTAAAATGAAGAGCACTACATTCAATGCACTCTTGGTCCAATAATCCTGCATCATGGATCTTTACATTTCTCTCGTCTACCATGGGTCTCCTAAAAAGGGGTTGTAACATATCTTGATTAAGTTCGTCATTATCTACTCTTGCTCTCCTACGCGCACTGTCATTCCTATGAACAGTTCCCCGCCTTTGTGGTATTCCCCTGGCGTTCATATTAATTACAGTACTTATAATGAAAAGAATATATATCCAGCAGCCTACATACCAAAACATCTTGAATCCCTGGTGATTTTATAAAAGTATGATCGAATATGATTACTCTACGTTGTATATTCACTGCACTAAAAAAATTTACTTACGAAGGAATGCAAATACACCATTTTAGAACCAATAACATTTATAGGTTATTTTAGATGTATATATTCACACAACCTTAACCTTAAAATGTGTAGAAATATAAAGAAAACAACATCATTTAAAATAAATTTGAACATATGATTTAAAATTAAAAACAAAACAGAAGTTAGATTTAATTTCGACTCTTTGATTATTTATACAGAATATTTATTCTATGTCGTTTATTCCTTTAACACGACAAGAACGTAAAAGCATGAAAAAATGAAACTTGAGTGTATGATTTAAATATAAACAAAGAATGCAGACGTTTTTCCGACTAATCTTCAATATTTCAGTTTTATTATAGTATACATTTCATAGTTGACTGGCTAAAAGTAAACCAAATGCGTGCATTGATCACTGTTTTCAAATCTGTGGCACAGCTGTTTTAATTTCAAAAGATGTAAACAAATTAAACCCCATGTTGTTTTAATGGGAAAAGTTTTATTCTGTTGCGAATTTATGGTAAAAAATAAGAAAAATGAATAGTTTTCCCTCAAAATTCACGTCAAGACCTTTAAAATAAGACCCCTCCCATCCTTCTACGGCCATCCAGTCACTCACAATTTCTTTACAAAAATTTGACTTACGGAATCTATATATATAAAAGGCAAAGCCCTCACTGACTGACTCACTCACTCACTCACTCACTCATCACTAATTCTCCCACTTCCCATTTACCTAGGAGGCTGAAATTTGGTACACTGATTCTTTAGGCATTAAATAGGAAAACTAAGTTGTTTTTGTTCTGATCGGACTCTCGGGCTCCGCCCCAGTGGCTCTGGAGTTTCCCATGTTAACCTTATGATTTTTCATATTTAAAAGGAATTAATGAATCTAACAGCTGTTTCAATTAAACAAGTTGGTTCTGTTCTATGATGTTCAATAGCATTAAAGTTACAAGGATTACCAACAGGGTGCAGCACTAATATTTTTTTAAATTTATGACTACAGCCAATTAGCAACCAAAAGGTGAGTGAGCGTAGCGAACGAACTTCAACCTGGAAGCGAGTTAGCGTAGCGAACGAGCTAACCTGAAGGCAAGTGAGCGGAGCGAACGAGCCCCAACCTAAAGGTGAGTGAGCGTAGCGAACGAACTTCAACCAGGACGTGATTGAGCCACGCAAACGAGCTCACTTGTGAAGTTAAACGGGGCAAAGCCCGCGGGTACAGCTAGTTATATATATAGATTTCATTAAGCAGATGTAAATTAGGTTTAAAAAGGAGATATGGAAGTAGATATTAGGCATAAAAGGAATACAGTTAAACTAGGGACAATGAGTGTAGACAAATTTAGTTTTAATCTGTAAATGGGTGGAAAAATAGAGTTTAATTGTGTATATTGGAAGGAGATAAATAGAGTTTAAATCAGTATACAGTAAAAGAGTTAAACCATGTATTGGATGGAGATTGGTAGAGTTTATATCGGTACCGGTACAATGAGTAGGTATAATAGAGCTAACTAATGTATATTGGGTGGACATTAGTACAGTTAATATCGGTATAATATGGAGGTAAATAGAGATTACAGTTTAATTAGGCAAAATGTGCTTTAATATGGTTTAACGAACATGGCATTTAGGATGAATGCAGGCGAAGGATACTAAGGTTAAAATAGGCATTTGAATATGGTGTGATTAGGCAAGATACAAGAAAACGAAAGTTGATTAACTTTCCCCACAAAAATGTCTTCGAAGACGATTAAGTTAATCCAAATAAATACGTTAAAAGTTTAAGGTACACAAACTAGAAAACCTGCCTATGAGTTTCACTATAGTTATGAAATATCAAAATACGGACTATTCAAAAGTAGGAGACGAAGGTTAATCTTATAATAGACGAAGATTTACGAGGTTCATGGTTAATCTCACAAAGTAGAAAACTTGACCTATTAGGTTCACTATATGAACCGTAGACATAAATGAAGAACTACTTGTACAAGAGAAGGTTAGTTTTAGCAATTCAGACGAAGATGGAAGGTGCTAAGATAGATAAGGCAGACTATAGTAGCTCGAGGCGACGCGAGCCGATGCTGACCCGATATCGATCTGAACTCAGCAGCTGAAGCCGTGTACGGAGTGCTGATACTACAGACAGTAGCGCGCGGTCCGTCGGCGTCGTAGCATAGTCAGAAACTGAACACATCTCTACACCGAACAGGCAAGTTGTGAGTTTATACAGATCAAATATTAATATTAATTCAAATATTATTGACTGGTAAAAAAAGGTTCTTATGTTTATTTGAATATTTGTTATTTATACTGCATATAATTAAGTGGGCAATATAGCCTATCAGTTAACTAACTTAACTTTACATTGATTCCACTTAAGTTGGGACAAACTTTCAAATTTACTGTGTGGTAGAGGTGTAATTGTTTTATATAGTTAATTTTTTTAGAACAAACAAAAAAATTAAGTTCTTTTATTAAGTAAGTATACGATTTTACAATCATGTTCAGAATGTATAATAATGTAAAACATGCCATTTAATCACAAAAAAAAATATATATATATATATATTTTTTTTTTTAATTAATGTTTAGGCAAAATTAAAGATGCACCAAAAAAGCATCCTTATAATTTTCACGAATTGGGAACCAATAATAATGCGTACAAATTTCCAAACTTTTACTTTAATCGCAAACTTATTTTATTAAATGATCTATGCACTATGATAATATATGTTCTATAACCTTGTCCTATGATCAATGATCAATGCTATGATCAATGCTCTATGATCATGAGTTCTATGATCAATGCTCTATATCTGTTCTATGTTTTGTGATTTATTTTTAATTCTGTTTTATGCTCTATGTTCCAAGATCTACTTTCTATAGTCAATAAGTAGCTCTAAGTATCTACATTCTATTCCTTCTTTAACGTATCTAAAGGAAACACATTAAATAAATTGGTGAAATAAAATAAACTTAAAATAATTATTGTTTGGCTTAAATGAACGCTGAAGTATATTTATTATTTAAGAAAATTGAAAATCTTAACTGTCGCGCTGTAAAAATGTAAATCCAAGTAAACTTGTATAACGTTTAAAACCAACAAATAAACGTCATTAGCATTACTCTACTACATTTTATGGAGGCGTTCTTGGAAGTTCGCCGTCTCAAAAGTCAACCAAGCAACTGGAATATACAATTATATTGTCATTAGGCCATAATTTATTCCTCCGCTAAGGACCCTCACTATTTGTCTGATAATTGACTTATTTCAAAACTTCATCAGCGGCCTCGAGGCGTTTACATTTCTAAACTCAAATAAAACTTCAACTCTAGAATGAGAAACTTTACTTTTTAACGGTCAAACTTTTTAGGAAATAATCATAGTTTGTTCAAATTCTAACCTAAGATTAAACTCAAATTCGTTATTCTAATTATTTTAGGTTATTGGTAAAAGCAGGAATAGAAAAGGGTAAATTATAGATAGGAAGGGCAATTTAAAGCCAGAACTCGTAATTGAATTTATTGTGATAGGCCTACTACTTATCTTTTTATATTTATATTTAAATTGAATGAATTGAACTACTAACTGTAGTGTGAGATACAGTGATAAAACATATAAAGTGAAACACTCTCATACAGATTCAAGAAAATTAATTAGCCTTGAAATGTTATATGTCACTTTAACTTTGCAAAGATCAGATTTTTTATTTTATTCAAGTTCATAATGACAATTATTAATGAAATAGTTTGGTTTTGACCTCTTTAGCTGCACTTCTCTGATTATCATTCAAGGCCCATCTACAATGACTTTGCAGATGCAAATTTTTTAAACTGTAAATGATTGTTCAAAAGATGTTAAAATAAAATACCATAATTCATGTACAAACGCCTTTACACTATTAGTTGTGTTAAAAACTGAACTGAGAAGGGATTGGCCAGCCACCTGGATATTTCATCTTCTTAGCTGACAGTAATTTTATAAGATGTGATTCTGATTAAATAACGAAGGTAGAGTACCACTGTAAAGCTTTCTAAAAGTGTTTCAAAATTGTGACCCATGTCACATGTAAATGGCTTTAAACTCAAGTAAATAGTTAGCCAAAATTAAATTGGAACAATTTACAGCATTTTCCTGCAGACAATATTATGCGATCCATACAAAAATATCGCATTTATTTACGAATGTAAAAATTTGTAATGTTTAATCTACACAATTGATGGTAAAATTGAGAAAATGTGAAAACTGTAGTGTAAAATCCACTGCAATACACATAAATAAAAGCGCATAGCATTATTTCCAACCCATAAAATGTAACGTAAAACATTTTACGTCAACTGCATTGACTAAAGAAGACGTACAAGAGATAATTAACTTGCCACCCTTACCTCACCCCCCATTCCCCCACCACTATCTTGGCCACTGTTGTACGCAAAGGGGGCGGTCGTATAAAACTTTATTTCCCTTGTGATTTTCTGTCAAAAAGAGTGTAATGTATTCTGACCCCCCCCCCCTTCCCCAAGGGTCAACCACGGCAACCTACCCTTTCGCTTAATCTACCCCTCTACCCCCTTCTCTCTTGGGGTTAAAAGCGTTGTCTCAAGTTTAACAAAGTTTTAAACTGCAGTGTTTCATTTAACATTTCAAACTAAGAAATGTGTTTTAAAATGTCAAAAGTGGTTTTGGATTGGAAATTGTAGTTGTTCCTAATGCTGGGTTTTTGCAGACAGATATAAACGCATAATTTATTTTTTTATCGTTTATAATGCATGATACACTGTTACAACTCTATTATTATTAATACTTTATTTATTTTCGTATTATAATCCTGCATTATTGGACATTTTAAAAAGCGATGTTTATTCTATGTTTATTGCTGAGTTCTCCATTAATGTAGCTGTTACCGTAGTCTTCTAATAAAGTTAAAAGTCAACATTCAGAGCAGTTTGACGACGAGTAACCTTGACATCGGAGCTAATTGTCGTGTTCTCCTATGGTTATCACTACAGTTTTGTTTAAAGATCCCCAAAAGTCAGAAACTTCGTACAAATTAATTTAAATATTTTTAGAAATGTCCTAATTTGATATTTTCACCGGAAATGGTTTAATTGGAGTAGGTGGTTTTCTCATAAAAAGTGGGTTTTTACTTGTTCCCCGAACTTATTGGGATTTCAAAAATACCTTTCCAATATAAAACTAGTAAAACTAAGTCCTCATTGACGTCATAATTGTTAGACAACTGGAAGTTCGATTTTTAGTTTATTGCGATGGAGGTTTATATTTATTTGAACCTAAAATTATTGGGATGACGATGCTCTAGACTAGTTCATGTGAATCGAAGGCCTAAAAGATATAAAATAATTTCAGAAAAGTGCAATCTACATTCGGGGCATTCGCAAGAACGTACAATGGGCCATCATTCACAAGTGAATTGTGGGTGATTTCGTCAAAATTTAATTTGAGAACCGCTTTGAATATTGATACTCAAACCACGCTCTCCACATAAAACATTTTTCACTCACCATTTTGGTTTATCTGCATGTACTTTAGGTACTTTCATATACACCAGCGTTATAAAAAATAACTAAAGGTGAAAAAATATCTTTAGGTTTTGGTGATGATGACTTTAATTAAATTGCATAAAACTATATTCTGGAATGGACCAGAAGAATAAAAACAGGAAATACAAGTTGCATTGGTTTCTTAAAACTTCAATACATTACCCTTATTTTTATGTGATGAATAAGAAGAACGAGAGCTTATTACATTTTAAGACCACTTGACTATAAATAGGTCACCGCTTCATCGATGTTGTGACCTAATTCTCACGATTATTATCCCGATTGCTTGAACTAAATATTGCAAAGTTTGATTATAAAAATCAATTGTTTAATTTAAATTTAAGTACCGGTACTACTTTTTGCTCCAAATGTGATTATTAATTTACCATTTGTAAGAACACAGGTGAAAATTTAATTTTTTTTTTTACCTATAACAACTATAAAAGTCGAGTTATAATTAATTGGGATTTCGTAAATTAAGTAGGTAGTTGAAAACTGAAAGTGAAAATGTCAGTAATATAATATTATTAACTAGCTGTGTACCCGTTCTACGCACGGGGATCTTATAGTACAGTATCAGTTGAAACCTTCTTATATAAAGAACAGTAGTTGGTTTGCATATTTTCAGATATTCTGGCCAAACTATTTATTATACATAACTTCATTTTATGTCGTTTGTTGTTGTTCCGGATCGGTATGACAATCAATAAAAGGCTAAATTACCTGTGTCAGCCGGTCGATCCTAATGTATCCTATTACAGGAGATGCATTTCGGCGAAATTAAATCGCCATCATCAGTCCTAATATAAGGTCTTGAGCTTCCCTATTAGGTGCATCTTGGAGTTTTTGAAACACATACACGAACTGTACACTTAGGCCTATACACATAACGAATAAAACATAAATACACGGTAGGCCTACTTTTATTTTTACTATGGACAAGTAGATGCGCGTCGGTCGTGTGCCGAGTCTTGACTGAAAACGCTCATTTAAAAAATGTAAGTTTCCCAGCAATATACAACACTGATTCAAGGTCTATTTCCCGGTTATCAAAACTCAAGAACAATTTTATGCACAAAGAATCTCTATTTTCATTTATTGTTATCCTACAAATTATTGCACTTGCGATTAATTAAATCCGTTATGTAAGGAAAAACGTTTTTAATCTTAATTGGTTTGGATTTGCTTTCAAAACGTGATCGGAAATGGTTGCGGTATTTGTAAACAACATTCAATGTAAACATATCAGTGACAGCTAGAAGAAATAATCTTGATTTGAACAGCTGTTCGTTATTTCATAGAAGAATATGTGCTAAACATTGGGAGAAAACTTTACAAAAATCGCACAAAATTGGGTTTTTAAACATCCGTCATTTTATTTACAAAGTGGTGACACCATATTTTAATGGCTAAAGACAATCTCGCCAATCCAGTGAATACATTAAAATGATTTGGAACTTGATAGGTACTCTCGTTTTTCAGGAGTAGGCCGCGTAAAATGGCTCTTGGGTCGTAACAGACTGGAAGACAGACAGAAATTTAGATGAGACTTGTTTCGGTTTCTCTAATGTATAACACGTAAAAATAACCTAAAAGTTTATGATTCTGAGTAATGTACAGACAAAATTCTAATTTTATTTATATAGA